GGGCATCTGGCTCCCCCATCCATCCATGAAGTCCAGATGGACAGCCGAGATAAAGCGGCTCCTCTTCCTAATTCTCTTTTGTTTTTTGATGTCCAACTTTGTGGGTAGAACCATTTACCTTCAATAAAGTGCACTATGGTTGTTGTGCTGTATCTCCCCCCTGCTTACAACCTTAGGCCTGTGAATAAAATAAAGGGCTCTGGAGTGTCCATGCTTTGATGTGGAGACTTCCATCCACCTGGTGAGAGCCTACAAGAATCTCTATGACCCCTTTGATGTCCATTACAATAACCGTGACAAGTGGCCTGGGAAGAAATTGGTATAGCGAAAATGTCTCAAGAGCGCCGATAGCACAGGACACCGCAACACCACACAGAAAAAGCAGAAGAAGATTCAAAGATGATGACATATGATGTCACCGATGACACCGTTTTCCTTTGGCCAAAACACAAACGCCTAATGCTTAAAAAAAATGAAAAAACGCTTAAAAAAACAAGTAAAACAATAACAAGCAGTCTTTCAGGTGCTGCTCTAGTGGCCGCCTCTTTACACACTGACCACAGGGTGCCGCTTGCTGGGCATTGTTGTCATTCATAGAATGCCTTGTATTTGTTTCAATGAATATAAGGTATTCCCTCTTTGGATGAGGAGGGGCTGTGACATCACAATATCCACCCCGTCCAATCAAAGAACGCCTTGTATTCAGTGAGCAAAATATACATGGCGTCTATTCGCTATGTATGCTTTTGGTTGACTTCTTGATGAGCTGTATCTTTGTCTGTATCTTACTGAATTGTTCAACTGATGTATGCTGCATTACATTTAATAAAACGTTTACCTGAAAGAAGTGTACAGAGGGGAAGCTATTCGCTACAGGACCTGGAAGACCGCAGCTATCACTATAGTAGCTCCATCTGCAGAACTAAAAACAAATATATAGCGGGGTTCCGCCACAGTGAGTAACAGCATGAAAACCGGTAAGCTGCAGGATAGAAGACCTTTCGCAAATATGATGACATATGATGTCACAGATGACACTTTTCTTTTGGCCAAAACACAAACGCCTAATGCTTAAAAAAAAATGAAAAAACACTTAAAAAACAAGTAAAACAATAACAAGCAGTCTTTCAGGTGCTGCTCTAGTGGCCGCCTCTTTACACACTGACCACAGGGTGCCGCTTGCTGGGCATTGCTGTCATTCATAGAATGCCTTGTATTTGTTTCAATGAATATAAGGTATTCCCTCTTTGGATGAGGAGGGGCTGTGACATCACAATATCCACCCCGTCCAATCAAAGAATGCCTTGCATACAGTGAGCAAAATATACATGGCGTCTATTCGCTATGTATGCTTTTGGTTGACTTCTTGATGAGCTGTATCTTTGTCTGTATCTTACTGAATTGTTCAACTGATTTATGCTGCGTTACATTTAATAAAACGTTTACCTGAAAGAAGAATAAGAAATACAAGCTGTTCTATAATTGATGGCAGTACCAAGCCATCAATACTCCATGGTCAGTGTACAAAGGGAAAGCTGTTTGCTACAGGACCTGGAAGACCGCAGCTATCACTATAGTAGCTCCATCTGCAGAACTAGAAACAAATATATAGCGGGGTTCCGCCACAGTGAGTAGCAGTATGAAAACCGGTAAGCTACAGGATAGAAGACCTTTCACAAAGATGATGACATATGATGTCACAGATGACACTGTTTTCTTTTGGCCAAAACACAAACGCCTAATGCTTAAAAAAAAATGAAAAAATACTTAAAAAACAAGTAAAACAATAACAAGCAGTCTTTCAGGTGCTGCTCTAGTGGCTGCCTCTTTACACACTGACCACAGGGTGCCGCTTGCTGGACATTGTTGTCATTCATAGAATGCCTTGTATTTGTTTCAATGAATATAAGGTATTCCCTCTTTGGATGAGGGGCTGTGACATCACAATATCCACCCCGTCCAATCAAAGAACGCCTTGTATTCAGTGAGCAAAATATACATGGCGTCTATTCGCTATGTATGCTTTTGGTTGACTTCTTGATGAGCTGTATCTTTGTCTGTATCTTACTGAATTGTTCAACTGATGTATGCTGCATTACATTTAATAAAACGTTTACCTGAAAGAAGTGTACAGAGGGGAAGCTATTCGCTACAGGACCTGGAAGACCGCAGCTATCACTATAGTAGCTCCATCTGCAGAACTAAAAACAAATATATAGCGGGGTTCCGCCACAGTGAGTAACAGCATGAAAACGTAAGGTGCAGGATAGAAGACCTTTCGCAAAGATGACGACATATGATGTCACAGATGACACTGTTTTCTTTTGGCCAAAACACAAATGCCTAATGCTTAAAAAAAAATGAAAAAACACTTAAAAGACAAGTAAAACAATAACAAGCAGTCTTTCAGGTGCTGCTCCAGTGGCTGCCTCTTTACACACTGACCACAGGGTGCCGCTTGCTGGGCATTGCTGCCATTCATAGAATGCCTTGTATTTGTTTCAATGAATATAAGGTATTCCCTCTTTGGATGAGGAGGGGCTGTGACATCACAATATCCACCCCGTCCAATCAAAGAACGCCTTGTATTCAGTGAGCAAAATATACACGGCGTCTATTTGCTATGTATGCTTTTGGTTGACTTCTTGATGAGCTGTATCTTTGTCTGTATCTTACTGAATTGTTCAACTGATGTATGCTGCATTACATGTAATAAAACGTTTACCTGAAAGAAGAATAAAAAATACAAGCTGTTCTATAATTGATGGCAGTACCAAGCGATCAATACTCCATGGTCAGTGTACAAAGGGAAAGCTGTTTGCTACAGGACCTGAAAGACCGCAGCTATCACTATAGAAGCTCCATCTGCAGAACTAAAAACAAATATATAGCGGGGTTCCGCCACAGTGAGTAACAGCATGAAAACCGGTAAGCTGCAGGATAGAAGACCTTTCGCAAAGATGATGACATATGGGGGTTTATTTACTAAAGCTGGAGAGTCCAAAATCAGACTCCCTTCTGCATAGAAACCAATCAGCTTCTAACCTCAGCTTGTTAAATGAAGCTTTGGCAATGAAACCTGGAAGCTGATTGGTTTCTATGCAGACGTGAGCCTGACTTTGTACTCTCCAGCTTTAGTAAATAAACCCCATGATGTCACAGATGACACTGTTTTCTTTTGGCCAAAACACAAACGCCTAATGATTAAAAAAAAAATGAAAAAACGCTTAAAAAACAAGGCTTCAAAAACCGCTGGAAAACAAGTGTGAATGGGGACTACATGAGTATGTCTTTACCAGTCCCCCGAAATAAAAATAGACTTGACCTTTCTCTTTATATTATTTTACTATATATTCTATTATCTATTCTGTCTACCTATTTGTACCTATTATAGAATCCTCCTACAGTAAACAGCCAGCAGAGCCCAAATCTCTCACGTTTTTTGCTTTCCGTCAAAGCAAAGTTTGGCCCATGACCGAAAAAAAAAAAAAAAAAAAAAAAAAAAAAAATGACGTCTCTCCTGTAAATCTATTGATGAGCCCTTGTTCATACATAAAATATGAACATTCACATCAGTGAACTGACCCCAGTAAGTCAATGTTTAATAGAAAGGGGCTGCACATTTATAGGACGTATGTCAGTGGTATTGGCCAACCGCATGAATATCTTCCCATTGCTAAATGAAAACAAGGCATCCAGCTGTCTAGTTTGCATTGAATATCAAACAGTTAAGCCCTTATACATGGTGAACACCTAAAAAAAACTAGACAATTACTAAATGTGTCATTTGAGCAACAGACCCGACGTTAACCAGCCCACAAGTGCATGCTTTTTTTTGGTGGTTTTACTTTTATAGCATACAGACACTGAATATTCTGAGCCTCCACACATAATAATAGATGTCTTGCAAGCAGCAAGCCCAATACACAGGGAAAACGGCTATAAAAAACTGCACTTGGTCCTCTGAAGTCTCCAACATTCCCTACAAAGATTTTTATGAGATCGGACGCAACACATTTTAAAATAGGTGCCAACAGAAAAGTAGATTTATCACCCATTTTCCCCTGAACCTAAAATTGAACTTGTGGCCAGATTATGGGCATTTGAGTATTAGCAGGCAGCAGATGAGCTTTAAAACAACCCCCCCCCCCCCCCCCCCGACCGCTGTAACTGCAGGCACTGAGGAGAAATTTGCAACAGAAGCACTGAAGTTGTTCAAATCAGACCTTCTGCTCCCTGCTCCCCTCCCAGATCTCGCTCTACACTTAGGCTGGCCATACATTATACAATTTGCCGCTTGCTGGGCATTGCTGTCATTCATAGAATGCCTTGTATTTGTTTCAATGAATATAAGGTATTCCCTCTTTGGATGAGGAGGGGCTGTGACATCACAATATCCACCCCGTCCAATCAAAGAACCCTTTGTATTCAGTGAGCAAAATATACATGGCGTCTAGAAATTTGCAACAGAAGCACTGAAGTTGTTCAAATCAGACCTTCTGCTCCCAGCTCCCCTCCCAGATCTCGCTCTACACTTAGGCTGGCCATACATTATACAATTTTCTTGAGATTTATGGTTTAGATTTCCCAAAAACCACATAATAGGAGGTCAAACCTAACAACACTTTCAACTGTATCCAATTAGTCAGGTTCTTGCACTACATTGTTAAAGTAAATCTAAAGGAAATTGAGCAGAAATTGGACAGAAAATTGTATAGTGTATGGCCAGCCTTAGAGAAAGATTGGAAGGCATTGCAGGGAGAAGGAAGCAGGTAGAGCCGAGCTGCTGAAAGTACAATCTGGAGAACTGCAGTCCTTCTGCTGTAAATTTTAAAGGATAAGTTCACTTTTAAGGTAAAAAAAAATGTGGATTTACTATATATACATTTTTTTTTTTTTAGAGATAATGAAGAGCATTGCGCCAGCGATCAGCAGATCACGATTGCCATGCAGGACTCCTGCAGACTGTAAGCTGTCCACCAGGGGCGGACTGACAACTCATAGGGCCCCCGGGCAATAGGGGATCATGGGGCCCCTGTGTCCTTGCCCACACTCAAAAAAGCCTATGAAAAAGGTACATGGGGCATTTTATGGGGCCCCCTACTGACCCCGGGCCCTCGGGCAGTGCCCGAGTGCTCCAATGGTCAGTCCACCCCTGCTGTCCACTCGTATGGGCAGGCAGTTCCAGTCACAAGAAGAATCAATGAACAACCTCAACAGCGCCATGGTAGTTCATTAAGAACCTAAAGCTGACAGCTGCAAAGGCTATCAGAACTTGTAGTTTCCCATTCACAGAACTCTGTGAATGAATGACACGGCCAGGGGCGGACTGACAACTCATGGGGCCCTCGGGCAATAGGGAATCATGGGGCCCCTGTGTCCTTGCCCACACTCAAAAAAAGCCTATAAAAAAGGTACCAGGGGCATTTCATGGGGCCCCCTACTGACCCCGGGCCCTCGGGCACTGCCCGAGTTCTCGAATGGTCACTCCGCCCCTGGACACGGCCACAAATTGTGACAGCTACTGGGGAGGGAAGATCCCCTACTAGCTGTCACAATGAGGGATGGGAGGGGAGTTGCAGGGGGCCAGTGCTACAGTAACCTGTTACACCCTGAATATGGGCGTAATGTGTTACAAAATTTGAACCTATCCTTTAAGGATGACTTGCCTCACTGCAGCAATAGAGCTCAGCGAAGCCTTGTATTGAAGCTCGTTTGTCGCTTAATACCCAAACAGACATATCCAGCCTGGCCTCAGGTTCACTTTCATGGTGCCGGCAACCATGATGTTGATTAAACCAGCACTAGAAATGAATGGCATACCTATAATGACCTGTAACCAGTAGTAAATAGCATGCTCCAAGAAGGCAAGATGGAAAGGCTTGCATGTTCCAGACTTTTCAGGCTTTAGTGGTTTTTGAGAAAGTCAGAAGCCATGAGTGTAGTTTAAGCCCACCACAGCATGATGTTATTGGGGCAGCAGAACTGAAGATTTGGCTACACAATTCTGCTATGGCAAAATAATCAGAAGGGTACGAAGTTTCAATACAACAGAGCTGTGGCCAAGGGGGCTTTGGGGCAATACATTTCAATCATGAAAAGGGGAGGCTGTCCTTATTAACATACAGGTTAAAGCAGGGCGGACTGACCATTGGAGCACTCGCCCGGAGGCCCCATGAGTTGTCAGTCCACCCCTGGGTTAAACTATGATCTCTTTTAGAACATCATCTGTCCAGAAAGCCTGTCTGTGGGCTCCCTTGTCAGACCTACACCATATGCCCTTTTTGCTACTTTACTAAAACAGCCCTGGGAGGAGATAAATACATAGGCGTTTTATACTTCAGACTTCAACAAAACACTAAAACCTTCAAAACATGAAATATGGCAACTATGAGGTCTCCCTACACTGCTTTTCTTTAAAGCCCAACTCCGGGAAAAAAACAAATTACATTTTAATTGGAAATCGTATTTCCTGAAGGTGGCCATAGATGGATCGAAACTATTGATCGACTTAAGTACAACCTGCCTGTCTTTTTTGTGTGATCACTGCCACCGGCTATAGGGAGCAGCAGTAATCATTGTATGTTGATGGCGGAGAAACCACCTGCTGTCAGAATACAATACCACAGCGGGAGGGATTCCCCCATCACTTGTGTTGAATCGAGCAATTTTCTCTCCTTCAGCCTGTGGTGTGGAGCTAATATCCTGCCCTGGGGACTAATTGATTCCTGCTTTTTATCTTCTTGGGCATGAGTCCCCTCCCTGCACCCAATTGTCTATACTTATGAGAGAAGACCTGGTTGCTGGAAAGCCTCCACCAATAGGAGGTGTGCATATAAAGCAGGTAGTAACCCCCGAAGGACTTCAGTAAGTATACGGATTAAAGCAGACCATAGGTTAGTTAAAAACCGAACGAAAATTCTCGTCAGTCGTCAAATTGTTTATTTGTCGCCAGCTGCGACACGTGATTTTTGTGCAATTGAAAGTGCCGGATCCAACACGCTGTTGGAAACAGATGATGGCACAATCGTATGCGCCATTTTCATTTTTCAATTAAGAGAACGTTGGTTTTCGACTCATCTATGGCCGGCTTAAGAGAAAAGGATCTTCATGTGACTGTAGCTTCAGATATGTAAAATAGGCATTTGAATTTTTTATTTTTTTCTCCTACCAGCAGTTAGCTAGAGGGAGGTAGGACAGAGGGGTGGGAGAGGGATTACTAAAAACCTGGAGTTGGGCTTGAAAGCGTTGCATGTACAACAAAATAAAGGGTCCACTTGAAACATTTAAAACCTAGAGCCTTGCCTACAAGCAAGGACCTGCTAGAATTTAGTATCAGTCAGAAAACCTTTTCGGATTATATTTCTCACATTGTTAGGGAAATGCAAGAAATTCATTTCGGATATTTTGTTTGGACGGGGTGCAGACAGGTGGGCGGGGCCTACTCTAGAGTTTGGAAAAATCAGGCCCGCTACAACCAAGTGAAAATAAATCAGAGAGGCCAACAGGGAAGGTTTTTTTTTTTACAACAAATAACCTCTTTGTCCCCTCTCTGGATTTAGCTTCACTTTGTTACTAGGGATCAGACTTTTTCTGATCTCATTGCTAAGTTCCGCCAACTGCTATCCGCTGTCCAATGAGATTTCCTTAAAGGTCAGTAAAGGTTTTTTAAGTGGACAAAAGGTATGCCGGTAGGTGGGCTTATCCAGAAAGGCATGAAAAATCAGATCACAGAACAAAGTGGAACAAAATTAACAAAAAAAAAAAAGACATTTTTCTGGATAATTTTGTAATAGCCGTGATACCGGCTTTTTGGCAGGGTCATCACTATTAAATACACATACTGGCTGACAGGTTCAACTTCAAGGTATGCTCGGCACTCGGCTTCCTGATATGCTTAGGAATATTGGTTTAGCCCACCAAATGACTGTCCATGTTGTGTGCCAACAGCTGATGTCCTACTAGAGAAGAGCTACATCTGTTTGCACACAGTCTGTGTCCTATCACATAAAAAGGAACTGTCACTGCCTGCTGAAAATGCTTTGCATTATTTAAGAAGTCACTTATTCCCTGTACTACTGACTCATGGAGATGACATGCAGCCATCCACACCGTGTTGTATTACAGACTTTACTGGCACAAAAAAAAAAATGTAAAAAAATAAAATACATCATTTGGAAAAACAAAAGTAAAAGAGGGATCAGTTGTGTTTAGGCGGCACATCTCCACCTCATTTAAGGTCGCCGTCTCCATCTCCTTGGATTGATTTCTTGATCCGAAGTAACATGGTGGTCAGCCATTGATCCAAACGAGATATTGAATCAAACTCCTTCACCTGAAGTTAGGATGGAGAGACATAAAATGTATTTTCTATCCATTAAGGTAATATACTTTTACTGCCACCATCTCTCTTCCTAGCAGCAGCAAATAAACAAATCTAACACATTCCTCCATTCACACAGATGGTAAAGATAGATTTATTTCTCTTTCTGGGCTATTGTATTTTAGCAACCATGAGCAGCGGCTGTCAGAATACCCAAACAATGCCTGCATCTGACTGGCTGTAGGTGCTGTATGGCTGAAAATTTTCACTTGACTCCTTCAACAAAAAGTCCATTGAGTAATTGAGCCAGCAGGGCCACCCATTGTTAGAATATCAGAAGATTCCTCTGGATCGGCTTAACCCCTTCATGCCGGCGCCTCCCGGCCCTTTAAGAGTTTCAGAAGCCAGGAAGCGGGGCGGGGTTTAGAGACGTGACCGCCGTGACGCGCCATCACGGCGGTCACATGATCGGGCAAGGTCCCGATTGAAGGAGGAGATCGGGACCTTTCCATGAATACCAGACATGTGTGCTGGGAGTGCGCAGGGCGCACGCTCTCGGCACATATGTTCTTTTTTAATAGAATGTAAATGTGCAGCCGCTCAGCGTCTAGGCCCAGATGCCAGGTGGCTGCACATTTGCGTTCGGCTGGCGTGAAGAGGTTAAACTGTAACAGTGTATGACTAAATATATTTACAGGATGGCTGCTGCATATAAACAATACCAATCTCTTCAAAATCCTGTTTCTGCAGAGATATGAACATACCCTATAGGAATGAGCTGTGCTTACCTCTGCATTTACAAAACGGACTCTCAGCAAAATCATTCCACTCAATTTATTTTGCTTGACTTTTGACATCTAACAATGTCTATTTTTGTCTCCCCATAAATTGCCTGATTGCCCACCATCTCATATTCAAGATTAAAGATGAGCTTGGGTTTAGGAATCCATTTTGGGGCCCAACTCAAAAGGAAAGGATAAGTACCAGGCCAAACTACTGTGACCGGGGTTATCTCCACCCCGCAGTTGCATGTACACAAAGGGGTGGGGACGTACTTGACATTAAATTCTCAATATGGCCGCATGGCCATATTTTTAACAAGTCAAGAGTGCTTTATTGAAGACAAGAGCAGTACAGAGCAAATAAGCACATATACAATATACAATGTCCCTACATATTCACCAAATCCGATGAACAGTTAGAGTCCAACTGTACATTACAGCAGGGTAGTAAGCATGCATGCACAGTTGCAAGAAAAAGTATGTGAACCCCTTGGGATTACGTGGAGTTTTGCATGAATTGGGCATAAAATGTGCTCTGAACGTCATCTAAGTCACAACAATAGAAGAACACAGTCTGCTGAACATAATACTACACAAACATTAGATGTTGCCATGGTTTAATTGCACATAACATGTAAACATTCACAGTGCAGGGAGGAAAAAGTATGTGAGGCCCTAGCTTAATGACTTCTCCCAGAGCTGATTGGAGCCAGGAGTGAGCCAACCTTGACTCCAATCAGTGTGATGATATTGGATGTGTTGCTGACAGCTGTCCTGCCCTTAAAAAACACACTCCTGTTTTTGGTTTACTGGTTTCAAGAAGCACTGTCTGATGTGAACCATGCCTCGCAGAAAAAGACTCTCAGAAGACTTACGATCAAGAATTGTTGACTTGCATGAAGCTGGAAAGGGTTACAAAAGTATCTCCAAAAGCCTTGATGTTCATGTGTCCACGGTAAGACAGACTGTCTACAAATGGAGAAAGTCTAGCACTGTTGCTACTCTCCCTAGGCATGGTCGTCCTGTAAAAATGACTGCAAGAGCACAGCGCAGAATGCTGCATGAGGTAAAGAAGAATCCCAGAGTGTCAGCTAAAGACCTACAGAAATCTCTGGCACATGCTAACATTTTTTTGTTGACACATCTACAATAAGGAAAACATTAAACAAGAATGGAGTACATGGGAGGACACCACTGAGGAAGCCATTGCTGTCCAAAAAGAATATTGCACGTTTGAAGTTTGCAACAAAGAGCACCTGGATGTTCCACAGCACTACTGGCAAAATAGAACCAAGATGGAACCAAGATTGAGTTGTTTGGGAAGAACACACAACACTATGTGTGGAGAAAAAAAGGCACAGCACACCAACATCAAAACCTCATCCCCACTGTGAAACATGGCGGAGGGAGGATCATGGTTTGGGGCTGCTTTGCTGCCTCA